TGTGTGTGTGTGTGTGAGTGAGTGTGTGAGTGAGCAGACACACAGGGAGTGTTCTGGGTACTACAGCTAGTGACTAGACTGTCTGGGAACATTCTCAGACTTCTGTGTAGCCTTCATATGTAGTTTGGTGATATGTGACCTCTCAGGCCTGAGACATATATTACCTGGGACAAGAAAAACCTTTAAGGAAATAAGTTAATTCATAAAGTTGTCTGACTTTAACAGATAAGAATCTGTGCAGCAGTGGGTGATATACCGTATCATGATTTGGTGCACACGTTTTCTCTACTAGTGCAGTGTTCGTTCTACACCTGCCTGTTGGGAAGGACTGCTTTCTTTGACTTTGTTAATTCTCCAGAGCTACTTCAGAATTATTCTTTGTCATCAGTGAGTCCTCCTCCAACAGTTTTACAGTATACTGTCACAAATCAACTTTTTGTGTGCTGGAGGTTGTGTGCAGAGCTTGTGTACAGTCTATATGGTGCAGAGTGGGGTTAGAAAACCTTGTGTTCATCCTACCTGGTTTATCTGCAAAGAAGATTTTATAATCAATGTTTTTCATAACATGAGACAGAATTGCTCTTTTATTGTTCTGACAGAAGGTACATTGCTACAGAGAGCTGGTCGCTTGTTTTGTCAAAGTTTATAATTATTGAATGTACCACGTGGTCAAATCACACAAAAATCTACACTGCACTTCCTTGGAAGATTTACAACTCAAATTCCAAGTGTGAAGCTGTTAAGGTGAATGGTTTGTGAGATATGCATTCTAAATAAACACAGATAGATTATTGTTTGTAGAAATAGTAGGCTAACACTCCATGGTCTCATTATGTGAGACCCCTGCCACACAAACACCCACAATAAGTTAAATGTTCTTTTAAGTCTTTAAATGTTCTGTTAAAAATTGTGTAGTCATCATTCATGATTATTTGCTGTGAGTTAATACTAAAGCTCGTCCACTGTTTGCACAACCGCAGATATATCCTGCTATATAGCAAACTGATCTAAATGTGTAAAATCAATGGTGATTTATTACATCATCAAGTAGTTTTGTGCTTCATATTCAGGTGTGAAATGGTAATTACATAATGTTAGCTGCATATCTATGTAAGCTCCTTCTCCAGCCAGGGCTGAACTGATACCGCATGCTCGATAGTGAGGAGTCGAAATGGCCACAGCATTAAGAATTCACCGTGCACAGCAAATCCACTCCCCTGTGACAGCTGGATGCCCAGAAGTAAGCCTGTGCATTAACATGAAACCACACACACACACACACAGACACATGCACATGCCCACATTTACACAGGCCCCGAGGGCACTTATGAAATGTTAAATGAATTCCATGGCAGTCAGCTAAATCTATCTTCTTTGCCATTTGTTTAGCTTTTTGGGAGATCTTCATTGACCGTTGTATGTCCTCGTGGCTGAATCTAGTGCAGGCAGAAAGAGTTTCTCTTTGTCGGATGATATGATAGATCATCTGGAGCCAAACTGCTGCAGGGAACCTAGTTAGAGGAGAGTCAGTAGCATGAGTGCTGCAGAGGTATAAATTAGTGCGATTGGAGAAAGGTGACAGAACACATGACCATGATGATTAGAATAACACTGACTGATATATTCATTCAAAGATCATAATGATATAACCTCCAGTCTGAGAGTATTTGCCTGTGTTACATTATTCATAGTCCCCACACCTGATTTAATCTCCCAACTCTTATTACTTTAACCGATTTATAAAACCAGGCTTCGGTGGCATCATTCTCCTCCTCTCTCAATCTCCTCCTTTTCTCCGCTCCGCAAGACAAAGTTTGTCAAACCAAAAGACAAAGCTACCTTGAACTGAGGACAACAACAGCTGCACTATTTATTTTGAGGTGTCTTGTTCCATGGCCCCGTTTGTAATGCATGCATGGATCATCGATATGTGGAACACGAGTACCCACTGTATCTCCAGAGTACTCTCCGACATTCTGCCTGTATGTCTCTGTCACACCGGCTGTTGTGTAGCTGTCTGAGCTCAGGGCCGTTCTTCCCCCTCAGTGTTGTCACCGGTCCAAGATCAGACGAAAAGGGAGAGAGAGACTCAGTGATCCTCCTTTTTCATGCGTTGATCTCCACTCCAGGATATTCCCTGTGGATCTAAATCATCAGCACAATGCTACTGGGTGTGAGTGTTTTGAATTCACAATGAGTGAGAGTGTGAAAACAAATATTTCTTTGAACAGCCTGTCGTCAGAGGAACAGCTGCAGACTTTCTTTTGTTGGAAGGAACAATTCATCAGACTTTTAACTTGTTCCACAGACACTCATCTCTAGCTGCAGTTCAGCAGCCTATTCTGATCTGCGCCCCTGCACTGATCCAGAGGTTGGAGCTCTGGTGCCTCTGCTGTTTTGGCTTCAACAGGAGCCTCATTACTGTGCGTCCTCTTGCAGGAAGCAGCAGCTGTGTGAGAAACTTAAATGACCTCTCCCGCTGTAAGATGACAAAATGTGTCAGTACTGCACCAAAGGGGAAACTCAGGAATATCCAAACATGAGAGGAGGACTAACATAGAGCTTAGAGTGTGATCAATCAGGGAAAACAAAATAAATCTCATGTGAGATTTTCTTAAAGTGATTCAGAGAGGCAGGTTGAGGATTCATTGTTCTGCTGAGCTGGCTGAATGAGTACTGAGCTGGGGAGGAAATAGGGCGAGGACAGTAGCAGACAGATGTTGGCTGCCAAGCTGCTGGGACATGATTGAGAGGTTTGTTTTAGGAGAAGAGGGGTCAGCTGTGAGTCCTGGAGTTGGGTCTTGGCTTGGTTTAAGGTGCTCTGCTCCAGAAAAAGCAGCCTTGCTCTTATCAACACACTTATCTTTTTCCAGTGCAGCTTTACATGTTCGGTAATGACCTGTTAGTTTACTGACTAATTGTTAGTCCGTTTGTTGACTATTCTCTGTATTATGACTTAATGTGGAAGTAACAAAGCTAGAGTGTAGCCCCCTCCTAGAAGCTACTGATTCGGTCAGTGACAATATTGATTCAGTCGAGTAAGTTGAGTTGGAAACTTTTCATTGATACAGATTTGTTTACATGCATTCTGTGTGGACTTCTGTACATGTTCTCCTCGTGTGTGTGTGTGTGTGTGTGTGTGTGTG